GTGAAAATGGGCATTTAAAATAGAGAACTGGCTGTTTCATGCCAGAAAGATCAAGGTACCCCTCATATTCAAAATTCGACAGAGGTTCACATATAAGAAGGCCACGTTGGGCCAGGCAGTGGACCAAGAGTTATATATTGTATCTTAAGATATTTAATGTCACTCTGCTTCAATTGCAAGGAACAACTTATGTATGTCTGCATGTATACTCTATGGAATGCTACTCAGCCCTATAAAACAAGAACCTGGCTTTTGGCAGAAAGTGGAGGAATATGGAAGATTTACTGCTGCGTGAAGCAAGCCAGGCTATGAAGGAGAGACATTGTACGTCTCCACTTAATACAGGTTGACTGTCCACACTTTATAGTGAAAACTAAATGACTAGAGAATATAGAAATATGGAAAATGCTTATAAATACCAGATACAGTGTGGGAAGAGATTGGATGAAGTGGAGAGTCTGAGAAAGGACATGAAGGAGAAAAATACAGACGCAAAGCATTATGGGACAAAGAAATGGTTTCTTATCTGTTGATAATGTGTATAGTATTCTCAACTGAACTGGTGAGAAATATATACATGTTGGAATACTCACTTTGCAAGCTAAGTGACATATGTGATTGGATGTATAAAAGAAATTAAAATTAAAAAAAGAAATAGCGGTTGCAGCATGGCCATGCCTCATTTGGGGGTACTTTCTCCCTTTGTCTGTCTCTCTAGCTCTCTGTCTTTTTTTCTCTCTCTGGTGAGTGTACATGCCCTCTGGAAATATATATTAATAGAATGAGAGATTAAACAATTGATACTATAAGAAAGATCCCAGAAACAGACACATACACATATAATAACTTGATACATGACAGAGTTTATTCTAAGAATCTATGAGAATTTAAAATATTTAAAAAATAGTAAATTGACAATTTTAATAAAAAAAAGAATATGGGAACCAGCAGTTAGCGTAATGGCTATGTCACTGGACTCCCACGTAGTTGACCACGGTTCGTGTCCCAGACCCGGTGGATTAAAACTCACGCCGGGCGCATGTACGTGCGTGCCCAAGATCCTGAGAGGAGAAGGGATTGCGGCGTGACCATCCCCCCTGGGGGGTGATTTCTCGCTTTCTGTCTCTATGTCTCTCTGTCTGTCTGGCGAGCGCACGCGCCCTACAGTGAAAATCTCTCCAAAAAAAAAAAAGAATTTGATTTCAGTTTGTAATATTTATGATATCAGTGAGAACAGAGATCTTAATATACAAAATCAAGACTCAAAATATTGGTAGAAAACATAGGAGAATGTGTGTATATAAATATATATGCCTCTGTGTGTGTGTGTGTGTGTGTGTGTGTGTGTGTATGTATAAAAATATATGTATATAAATATATATTTTTTCTTTTTAAAGATGTGTTTGTCATTGTGCACGTGCCAGATCTGGCAAGTCCCAGAACTAACTGGCAGCTTGAAAATCACACCTAGCCCATGTGTATGCATGGTCCAGCATCTCAGGAGAAGAATGAATTGGAAGGGATTGCTGTAAGGCCATCCCACGGAGTGGTGATTTCTCACTTTCCCTCTCATTGTCTCTGTTTGTCTCTTTCCAGAGAGCATACATACTCTATGACAAAAACCTAAAAATATAAAAAATAAAAAAGTAAAGTGGCGATTTTTTTTTAAAGAGATTTTTGCTATAGGGCGTGTGCACTTGCCAGGCAGACAGAGAGAGACAGAGAGACAGAAAGCGAGAAATCACCCCCCAGGGGGGGATGGCCACAGTGCAATCCCTTCTCCTCCATTCTCTCAGGATCTTGGGGACGTACACACATGCGCCCGGCATGAGTTTTAAGCCACCGGGTCCGGGACTCGAACCATGGTCAACTACGTGGGAGTCCAGCGACATAGCCATTACACTAACTGCTGGTCCCAAGCGGCGATTTTAATGGGGAAGTAAATGACTCATTCACACCAAAATGTTTCAAATTGCAGGAGTGACATTGTGATCCAGGACTCCTGACTGCCTCCTTATATAGAGATCTGCTATGGTGTCTACGTGAGATATTGCCTGGAGGCACTGTACGCAGTAAATAAGGCATGCTTGCTTGTCAGTCCTACAGCACAGAAGGACTCCGTGAGAGAGGAAGATGTGGCACCACTCTGCTTCTCATGCTTCACTCTGTGGTGATGCCCTGGTTGTCCTTTTTCAGGAACTTCCTAAGGAAGAGATCAAGAAATGATGGACACTGGTTCTACACCTCTATTAGACTTTTCACTTAATAGAAATATTTCATCATTTTTATTTATGTAAAAAGTTGAATAAAACAGAAAAGAATTATATTAAACATCCACATCAATTTGAGAAAATAAAATGGCAATACTCAGAAATACTCAAATACATATTTTTTGTTTGTTTGTTTTGGCTATACAATTATGTTTTACCCACCTAGTTCTCACATTGTAAATCATCATTTGGAACTCTAATTATGTATGTTTCTTCTAACTTGGTACTATACTTTGATTTATTTAACTCTTTTGACCTGGACCCATCTGTGCAAAAAAGAAAGAGACGAGTGAAAGTATCTGTAGCTTCTTTAATCCTCTAACAAATGCAGTCTCAAACAATGTTTAAATATTCTTTTTATTTTTATTTTTTAAAAATTTTATTATTTTTATTTATTATTATTTATGCATTCAATCGTTATACATTATTTAGATTGTAAAGAGATTTTATTCAACATGCTATATGCTGCATAGCAGGCACATTGAGGATACTATACATGACATCATCAATAGGCAACTAAGCATATTTGTGTGTCACAAATGTTTTCTTCTCCATGTTTTCCCAAATTTCACTTTCTGCTCTCTTCGCCTCTCCTATTCCCCTTTAAAATAGCATTAATTTAGTTTCCAATAAGATAGAGAGACAGAGAAATAGAGGCAAAGAGAGAGTAATAGAGAGAGAAAGAAAGAGGTACCCCCAAGAAGACCTTCATGCCATGATCCCATCTGAGCCAGTCCAGATTACAGGCACATGTGCACATCCAGGATGTATAGAGACATTGAAATATGAACTTGGGACCTTTCCATGTGAGTCTAGTCTGGATAAGTCACTCCACCACTGTGCCTCTTGCTGGCCCCAAGTATACATATTGTACATTCACTTAACTCCTAAATTAACAATTTTATGCATCTTTGATTTTCTAAATGTCATTGGTTCTCAGAGCTGCATTTGACTTCTAGGATGTTGACATTTACTCAGTAGGGCAGTGAGGTCCAGCATCAATCCATAATGGCCTTCCTCCCGAAGACCATCGCTCTTATCTGTATGTTTGCATCCTTATATTAATTTCATCACTCTTCTCTCCAAAGTCTTTTCCACCTTTTGTGTCCTCAGTTCCTTGCCTATCTTACCTCTTTCTTTCACTCTCGTTAGATGACCTCACTTCAGTATTTGCAGGGGAAAAAATGAAAGACTTTGGTGTGAATTCACTTGCCTTTACTATATCAAAGATACCAAAGTCATCTACCCTTATTTTCTTCCTTACTTATTGAAAGTTATGATTTAGTTCTCCATCAGTATTACAGACCTCCTGCACACATATGTTGTGTACATAAGTGTTAGGGATTTTGGCCTCAGAGGAGAATTGGTTTGCTCAGATCATTAAGTTAAAATTATGCTCCTGAGGAGCCAAGAACATTTTAACTGCTTCTTCTGAAATATATTTTAAATAGTCTAGGGAATAAACCTCAGAAATGCATTATAAATCTTCCTCTCTTGTTTTAACAAGAAATGAATGGTGAGTCAACTCTTACAGGTAAGTCATTTTATATATTTGTTGACTAGAAAATACATCCTGTGTGTATATTCTTATGTATGTGGATTAATATCTTACCAATGGGTTTAACAAGTATTTTCATCAATTGCAGTTGATTTGTCTATCCCTATGTTAATAATTCATTGATTCTCTAAAAAATAATTATATGCAAGGTTTTTTTGATGCATATGTATGCCCTTAATAAAAAATGGCCTTAGAGCTCAATTTTTGAGGAATAATTTTTATAATCATAACTTATTTTCACAAAGAATATCTCATGTTGCATAATAAAGCCACATTTAAATGTTATCTGTGATTCCTACACACATAATTTCATGAATGGGTTAGTGGCCCAAAGCTGGGATTAAAAACATTCCCTAGACAATTTTGGAATTGTTTATCTACTGTTCAAATGCTACCTTCTCAGTTAATTTTTCTTCCTAGTATCTGCATTTACTTTAAACTATTTGTTACTTTCTATGTGCTTAACACCTGTTTTCATTATTGTAATGTGTGACCAATGAGGGTCAACAATTGATTTACTGCTGTAATCCCAGAAATTGAAGCTGAAAAAAAAATGTTTTGCAGTGGATTAAGTTAAGAAGCAGAAAGGATGTTTCTTGATTTTGTACCTTCTTAGTCATATATAGATATATTTCACTAATTTTATGTTCTCTAAATAAAATTAACCTAGACAATATGGGCTTCATGTGAAAATACTGTACTGGATTTTATCTTCTATTTTGTAACTGAAATAATAGGATTTCATTGCTAGAGGATTTGGTATCAGCATCATTTATTTGTCCATTTTAGCATTACAAATTACATACTGCTTTATATAACTGATTTTATTCCTTTTATTTTTGATGGTTTGTTAGCTCACAAAGTAAAAAAGATTTTCAGATGTGGAGGTCTTTAAGAAGAAAGTTGTAAGTGCGAATTTGTATGTATAAATGGATGTGAGAGAGAATGAGTGTGTGTGTGTGTGTGTGTGTGATGAAGTAAGAAAAAAAAGGCAAATAATATTAAAATATAGTGGAATGATACAATCCATATATTTGAATGCATATGTTGAAAAGAAAATAATAATTGTCCCATAGGTAAATAAATGAATGAGTAAATGTCAAAACGAATGAAATAAATGAAGATATTAAATCATATAGAACACTTCACAATTTCACTGCTTTCAGTTTCCAATGGAAAAAGAAAAGTTCTCCCAAAACCTCACTGTAGTGACAGAGTTCATTCTCTTGGGACTCACAGAGGACCCAGCACTAGAGAAGATCCTGTTTGCGGTGTTCCTGGTGATCTATCTCATCACACTGGCAGGGAATCTGTGCATGATTGTGCTGATCAGAACTAACTCCCACCTCCACACTCCCATGTATTTCTTCCTCGGACACCTCTCCTTCGTAGACATTTGCTATTCTTCCAATATTACTCCAAATATGCTGTGTAGTTTCCTCTCGGGCCAGAAGACCATCTCCTATGCTGGGTGCTTCACGCAGTGCCTTCTCTTCATTGCCCTGGTGATCACTGAGTTTTACTTGCTGGCTTCCATGGCCCTGGATCGCTACGTGGCCATCTGTAGCCCTTTACATTACAGCTCCAGGATGTCCAAGAATGTCTGTGTCTGTCTCGTCATGGTCCCTTACGTGTTTGGCTTCCTCAATGGACTCTCCCAGACACTGCTGACTTTTCGCTTGTCCTTCTGTGGCTCCCTGGAAATCAATCACTTCTACTGTGCTGACCCTCCTCTCTTAATGCTGGCCTGCTCTGACACATCTGTTAAAAAGATGGCAATGTTTGTAGTTGCTGGATTTACTCTCTCAAGCTCTCTGTGTATCATTCTTCTCTCCTACTTTTTCATTTTTGCAGCCATCTTGAGGATTCGTTCAGCTGAAGGGAGGCACAAAGCCTTTTCTACTTGTAGTTCCCATCTGACAACGGTCACTATATTCTATGGAACTCTCTTCTGCATGTACTTAAGACCCCCATCAGAAAAGTCTGTAGAGGAGTCAAAAATAATTGCAGTATTTTATACTTTTTTAAGCCCAATGTTGAACCCATTGATCTACAGCCTAAGGAACAAAGATGTGATCCTTGCCATGCAACAAATGATTAGGAGAATTTTCTTTCTTAAAAATGCAGCTTAGGCATCTGTTCATTGGTACTTGCTTCATGAATGTGATAGCACAGAGCCTTTCTTCATTGGACAAACCTGCTATTGTACAGTTATGATTTGTGATTCATCACAGACTCTCAATGACTCCTTTAATGTCTTCCTAAAATTAGCATCTTGAAGATTAGTTTTTTTAAATGAAAATATTAAAATTGAAATTTTCAAAAAACTTTAAGAGATCCTATGAAAATGAATTACTGAGAATCCATTAAAACTATATGTTAATGTTCTTTTAACTTATTGGGGTAAATTATGTAACACTAATGGGAACTGAAAATCCATCTCCTCTGATTAGTAATATCCATAGAACCATAGTGAGGCTCACGACAGACTAAATAACTTCACACTTTTTATTTCCATAAACTTTATATCTATCCCAGTATGGAGTTTAGAAAAATGACTTTGTCACCTGTGCACTCATTGGAATAGCCTTGCAAACTATTTTTAGATATGGTGGTCATTTATATTTAAATATTGGGCATTATGGTTTCAAATAGCATGACTATAGGAAATAATACAGCCTACTGTATTTACTCCAAAGAGTTCAAGGAGTTTTCTAGTAAATCACCCGGATGACTTTCATTTTTTTGCACAAGAATTTCATATTAAATTTGAGAGCCATTTGTTTGTGTATTGGTTTGGTTTTGGATAAAGCATGGGACGATAGGTGTAGGTGGACTGCAGAGACAACAATAAAGCATAGAAGCCTAGAAATGAGTGACTAAGGGTTGTCATTGTAGCATAGTACTTGGTCCTTTTTGAGAACCAGAATCATTTAATTTGTAAGATATTCCTTTATTTTATAGTAAACTTCCCATTTTGTGAAAAAAAAATAGTTGTGCTTTATACCTAGGAAACAGGACAGTCTGATACACAAAATTATAACCTTATTTTTTAAATGTACTTTAGAATTAGTGCTTGGGGCCAGCAGATGACTCAGAGGTTAAAGCTTTGGGTCCCACTTGGCCATCTGAGTGGTTCGAGTGTCAGACCTGGTAGCTTGAAAAATATACCAGAAGCATGTGCTATGAGCCCAAAATCCAGAGAGGAGTATGGAGCAGAACGTTTATGATGTGACCATCCCTCCCTTCTCATCTAGGGATTTTGGACATGCATGCACATGGGACCTGGCATGAGTTTCAAGCTGCCATGTCCAGGATTTGAACCACAGTTGACCACGATGTAGTATAGCTCCTTAACCACTATGTCACCAGCTGGCCCCAGTAAACACTTTTAAACATCACATATTACTTAATTATATGATTGTATTTACAAATACTACATGTAGATTACTGAAGTCGAATGGAAAAATAATGACATATATAAGAAATAAAGCAACGTTTACTTGCAATATTCTACGTAAACTGAGCTGCTCTCAGCATTTTAGTGTATTTTATTCTACTTGGTTGATCTTCAAGTCTTTATTTCCTTTTATTAGTGTGTCTTATTATTTTAATTAAATCATATATCTTTGTTAATGTATTTCTTTCAGGATAAATTCCCAGTAGTGTTGATGAGTTAAATTATTTGAATATTTTAAAGCCCTTGATTTTTTTTTTTTTGAGAGGTTTTTCCTATAGGGTGTGTGCGCTCGCCAGACAGACAGAGAGAGACAGAGAGAGAGAAAGCGAGAAATCACCCCCCAGGGGGGATGGCCATGCCACAATCCCTTCTCCTCCATTCTCCTCTCGGGATCTTGGGCACGCACATGCGACCAGCATTGAGTTTAAGCCACTGGGTCCAGGACTCTGACAGTGGTAGAGTACATGGGAGTCCAGCAACATAGCCCTTATGCCAACTTCTGGTCCCAAGAACAGTGTGGATCTCCTTTCTTTTCTTTTATTCTTTTTAAATATTTCACCAGAGGATATGTGCCCTCATCAAAGTGAAACAGAGAGAAAGCAAGTGAGAAAGTGCTGGATCCCCTAAAACAAATCACAGAGTTCAAGTCCAAGACCAGGCAGCTTATAACACATACTGTGTGTATTTGTGAAAGTGCCCAAAATCCTAAGAGGAGAGGTGAATAAAAAGGGATTGCAATATGACCAACTCAGTGTGATTTTCAAGCCCCAGGTTTTGGGTCTCCAACCACGGCCAGGTATGTGGGAGTCCAGCACTTCAACCACAATGTGACTTGCTTGCCCCAAATTATCTGATTTAGAGAACCTCTTTCGTTGGTTGTGGCGACAATATGTTGTCCCCCTAAAGATGAAATGTGTTACTAAACTCCATAGCTCTGAAGTTCTTGAGATACATGATGGTAAAGGAACAGATGAAAATATGGACAACCATGACATCCTTCTATTGTGAAGAATAAAAGCAGCTGTGTCATAATTTCCCCTTACAGCATGTTCCACCCTTGATCCAGTTACATATCTATCTAGAGAATAGCATACTTTTTGAGAGATTTTTGCTATAGGGTACTTGCGGAGAATATCATATTTATTTATTTATTTATTTATTTATTTATTTATTTATTTATTTATTTTGAAGAGGTTTTTGCTATAGGGCACGTGTTCTCACCAGCCGGACAGACAGAGACAGAGACAGAAAGTGGGAAATCACCCCCCAGGGGGGATGGCCATGCCACAATCCCTTCTCTTCCATTCTCCACTCGGGTTTTTGAGCACACACGCACACGCACACACACCCAGTTTAAGCCACTGGGTCCAGGACTTGAACCACGGTCGACTACATGGGAGTCCAGTGACATACCCATTACGCTAAATGCTGGTCCCAAGAATATCATATTATTAATGGAAGTAATATCCATCTTGCCTCCTCTCAAGTTACTTGCACGTCAAACTAGACATTCAAAAGAGAAGTATTTATTGATACTCAACACTTAATGATTAAGCACTATAAATGCAGAAGTGAACAAACCCTTCAGAAAAATACTACCACTCCAGTGTTAATATTCTAGTGGATAGAGACAGATAGCATTTCAATGAAGTAAATCATATTTCAGATAGCATTCTGGAGAGAAAAAGGACATGTATCATGTTTGCATTTAAATAAGAAAGCCTTATTGAAAGGTGACTTTTTTAAATCAACCACTAAAGCAATAAGGCTATTAATGCAAAATTTAAAAATATTATAAATAAAAACAGAAGGTACAAACGTACATTAAATAAAATGGCAGACCAAAAAAAAAAATAAGAAGAAGGAAATCCTATGAAGGATAAATAGTAAACACAATAATACCAGATATTGTTATTCTTTAGAAAATACCAGTGTTATGTGTGTATGTGTCTGTGTGTCTGTCTATTTATGCACAAGTACAGAGTAAATAATGAGAAGTACAAAATAATCTAGGGATTTGCCAAAACAAAGATATTTCATTTCATCAAAAGTCTTGCTCAAATCTATCCATGATTTTCCTGCTATGAGTATCAATGACTTTGACAGAGAACAGTGTTGATTTTTAGAACAGAGAAAATGGGAAGAAACAGATCAGAATGTGGAAATTTCAGATTTAAGAAGATACAGCACAAAATTAAGCTTCAGGTTTCATTTCCAGGAGGCCTCCTTTGTTGCATGTCACTTAATAACCATTAACATGTGTGAAATGAAATTGACTTGACCTAAAAGTTCAGTGACTTGTGTAGGATCCATAATTACATAATTGAAGCACAGCAGGGCACATGGGTGAAGAGAAACAATTAGGATAACCAATAGGTTGTGTATACAAAGATAGAAAACCACATCAGGTCTAACATTTTGTGAACTGTCAGAGTAAAGGCAGACAAATACCCACTGAGCAAGGAACATTTGGGTTTCCTAGATCAGAACTTATGGGCCTCTCCATTCCATAGGAATACCTAGCAGAGGAGTAGATCAAGGATAGCAGAAAGCCCAATTTTGTAAAACCTGAAACTGGAACCAATTACCTAAAATACTGGGTCTAGTAAGAAATTTAAAAAATGTTAGGATTCTTGTTCAGTGTTATAAAGAATTTCAAGACCATAACAGCAGAGCATGATGCATGACTATGATTGAGCTCATCCCAGAACACACCTAGGCTTCCAGAGTCAACAGAGGAGATGTAGAAGAAGACCCTCTGCATCACATCAATTAAAGAAAAGAGAGAGGGGGACCATCAGGTGACGTGATGGTTAAGGGAGCTGGATTCCCATATGGCCAAAAGAGGTTCAATCCCAGACCTGGTGGCTTCAGCTCTTGCTTTCTCTTTCTCTGTCTCTTTCTGGTCAAATTTTAAAAATAGTAATTATAAATGGAATTAAATAAATAAATAAAAACAAAAAAATTATATAAAAGGGAGGAGGGCTGGCAGATGTTGTGGTGTTTAAGGCCTGGATTCTTACATGGCTGACTATAGTTTGACTCCCAGACCTGGCACATTGATTTCTCTCTCTCCCTTTTTCTTTGTCTCTGTTACTCACTGGTCAAATTGAACAATAATATTAAATAAAATGAAACAAATAATTCCTGAAAAAATAAACTTTTAAAAAAGAAAGAAAGAAAAGAGAGAGAGAGAGAATAGAAGAGAAGGAAGCTCCAAAGGAGCAAGTCTCAACCCAGATTGGGATGCACTAGAGAATAACACATCTCAAGGGGCTAGTAGTCTGTTAGGCCATTAAACTATCTGTGATTGAAGAAACAATTTGTTTCAGAAAAAAAGGAAGATTTTTGTTCATTGTTTTGCTTTGTTTTGTTTTTTTCCCTATATGATAAGACTGGTTCTTGGACTTTTTTTTCTTTCTTAAATATGACTCCCTTGAAAAACCTAATGAAACTATGGCTACTCAACCAATATAAATGTATATATTTAAAATCTTACCCCAAAATAAAAGAGTTCATAGATATCTAGGACCTAAGTATCAGAACTAATATTTAAGAGTCAGCTTTATCTTACACCTGAAAATGGGCTTACTCTTAAGTATGGGAAGCAAAGTACACACCTCTCTTGATTCTTCTGCACCAATAAAAGTTCTGTGAAATATTATCCAAGAA